ATTCTGGGAGTTGAAGTCCACTCATCTTAAAGTGGCCAAGTTTGGACAACACTGGGCTATGTAAATAAATATCTCCCTGCAGAGTAAGGTTGCAGTGGTCATAGAGGTTGTGTGAATAAGACTGTTGGCCAAGAAGCAGAATTCAGCAGCCGCTGCTTTAGCCTTCTTGAGCAGTTGCTGGGCTGAGCATGTTCTGGCATGACTGAGCTTAACCCTTGGGAAAGGTAGGGTTGCCTGAAATGTTTTTGGTCATCCAGCAAGTGTGTCTCAATGCAGCCTCTCAGATTCTTCAAAGGGATTGTTAAGGAAGCCTGAGTTGTTCAGAGACATGCATATAGTAGCATGTAAAAAGGACTAATCTTAAAATCACCATTTCTAATATGATAACTTGATCTGGTAGAATTTGCATACGGTGCGGCTGGTGAACGGTCTGCTTCACAAATACGATTTGATGACTGTGAGCTATTGTAGCACATTAGCAAAGAGACTCTTCTGTAGACTGGGAGGTCTCCAGACCGAATCTCATCTGTGACATGAACTTAGTAGCAGTTGGACTACTTTCTCTCTCTTAGTCTTGGTCCCTCTCTGCCATCTGGGGATAACACTGACCTACATTACAGGTTTATTGTAAGTGCTTGGAGCATATATTTTTTATTTTGAACATTGGGCTAGTGCTTGTTTTGATTAAACATTAATTATTTTGATTAAATAAACATTAAATATTAGTGTTCAAAATTTGTTGAGGTTTGAGGGTTTTGTTTTTTTTTTTACTGTAAAACATGGTTCATCCTTTGGATACAACGATTAGAATGTTCTGTATTACTAATGGCAGTTTCATCTAGTAGAGAATTATATAAATCATGGATCTCCCTCTTAGAAATGTAGTCCATTCTCCACTGGAATATAGCAACATGTTTCTATGTATGTGACATCATTCCTGTTCAAGTTGTGTGTAGGCCAATTAATTACATTCTGTAATCTAATAGAATATGTGTAGCTCAGGGTTGAACTGTGGAGTCCTTGGAGTTCTCTGAGGTTGGTTATTTTCTTGCAAATGTTTCGTTA